AGTTGGTCACATGAGTTATTCTCACACACACCTTGGGTTTAGACCCAAGAACACAGAACCCCTTCCTCAGAATAGCCAAAGCCCAAAGGAGGACCTCAACTATGAGAGAGACGAGCCCGTCTGAGGGCAGGGATCACCTGACGAACACCTTGTACATGGGGACGTACTCAACATGGACAGACAGATAGCAATCCTACTAAATTGCCAATACCCCAGAATAACCACCTCATTTTTCTGAGAAAAGTTTCTTCGGCTTTGGCACACCACAAATAGTGCTCTCTGTAGTTCTACAAGTTCAAGTTCTACTAATTAGTTCAAGTTTTACTAATTAATACAATTTTTTAAAGAATTATTTAATTTTATTTATTATTATTTTTAAGAAATTTGACCAAAAAGAGACAGAGAGAGAGACAGAAGGAAAATGAGAAAGCAAGCTGCCAGATTCAGGACTTGAACCAAGCCAGTCATGTCCAGTGCCTAACCACCACACCACCCACTAGCGCAATGTAATTCCTTATGAAAAGTGGCCAATGTGTCAAATCACGAAACACGGTTCACACAGGGCTTAAAGATAAGACAGGAGCAGCCGCAGTGGCACCCTCCTGGGTCAACCTGTACGGGGCCAGTGAGGAAGTGCGTGCCCATAATCCTAGCTACCTGGGAGGCTGGAGCAGGATCAGGGTATGATGAGACCCTGCTGGAAATGCCTGTTTCGACCCTACCTTTCCCATTTTCTCTCTAAGGGAGTAAAAAAGATAAAGACAGCCAAGGAAGGCAGTGTGCCTCAAGTGGTCCGAGAGAACTTTGAGTGGCTTTGCTTCAGGCTGTGCTGTCTTGTCCCCAACAGTCCATAAGCAACACGGTACAGGCCATGTATTCCTGGAACCCTCCAGAATGCACAGAAGCATTCAACAGACCTGAGAGATGTTTCCCACAGGGCGCGTGCGCTCGCCAGAAAGAGAGAGACAGAGACAGAAAGCGAGAAATCACCCCCCAGGAGGGATGGCCACGCCGCAATCCCTTCTCTCCATTCTCCTCTTGGGATCTTGGCATGCATACACACTCGCCCGGCATGAGTTTAAGCCACGAGGTCTGGGGCTTGAACTGCAGTCGACTACATGGAAGTCCAGCAACATAGCCATTATGCCAACTGCTGGTCCCTCAACAAACCTGATTTTAAAAACTCCACTTCTGGGGCCAGCAGGTGGCATGGTGGTTAAGGTCCTGGACTTCCACATGGCTGAGCGGTTTGAGTCCTGGACCTGGAGGCTTGCTTTTTTACTTTCCCTTTCTCCTCTCTTGCTCTGTCTCTCTCTAGTCAAATTAAACAAATAATTATGATGATGATAATAAATGATGTGAAATAAAGTAATTATTAAAAAGAATAAATAAATAACACTCCACTTCCATGCTCAACTTGCAAAATTAATTCAGATAATCATCCAGGATTTAAAACTATCTTTATATAAGAATGAGAAACCACAGAAACTGCCAAGAAAACATTTTAAGTTTCATGTCAACTGAAAAACTATGCTATCATTAACATTGAATGATTATATCCACTGCATGCCAGAGGGATAAAGAGGCTAACACCTAGAAAAGAGCATTTCAAACTGAAAGATGATATGTGTAAAAGAAAAAATTGAAAGTGCACCTGGATAACCTCCAAGGTATTAAACTTTTTTTTCCCCAGAGCCCCAGAGATCCACGTCCCAGTGGGAGCCCTCACGTGGCACACGTGACACCGTTGGAGGATGACGTGCCTGACAGACTGTCAGAACTAAAAGTAGCTTTTGGGAATTCTGAGCCTTAGGAAAGGGTACAATGGTACAATTTAAGCCAGAATTAGGTTTTCCAATCGATCTCAGCTGGTCAGAAACTCACAACAGCGGTTTGCTGTATCCCAGGGTCTTTCAACTCCAAGAGTTTGAATCCTCTGAAGAGTTGGCTGTTACACTTCTCTCTCAATATATTTTTTTTAAATACTTGGCAGAGGGGAACCAGCAGTTGGCGTAATGGCTATGTCGCTGGACTCGCACGTAGTCGACCGCGGTTCGTGTCCCGGACCCGGTGGCTTAAAACTCACGCCAGGCGCGTGTGCGTGCGTGCCCAAGATCCTGAGAGGAGAATGGAGGAGAACCAAAAAAAAAAAAAATACTTGGCAGAGGATGCACGCACTCACCAGAGAGAGAGAGAGAGAGAAAGTACCCTCCCCACTGGGGATGGCCACCCTGCAGACCCCATTTCTCTTCTGAGGGCTTTGGGTCTGCATACACATGCACCTGGCGTGTTCTTAAGTCAAGTCACCAGGACTCCACAGTGCAGTCGGCCACGTGACTCCAGCTGCCTTTACCACCATGCCACCGGCTGGCCCTGAAGAGCAAATTTATAAACAAATGGTGCTTCTAACATCAAAACACAAGAGGGCTGGCCCTGCTTCTCTTTCAATTTTCTACACTTAAGGAACGGCTCTCTCCATCCAGGGTGAAACCAAGTTAAGCTAAAAGTCATTTCGGATCTGGCCTTTCTTCCTGTTATGGAAAAGGCAGAGCTGTCCCATTACACTGTCTTGTGACTGTAAAATTGTAGCTGCAGTCACACACAGACTTTGTGCTAGAAAAGTGTTTCCCCTCACTCCTTCCACCTTAAAGCCTGTATGCACGTAGTAATTCTTCATAGAGTCTCCCTATGTCACCATGCTCCTGCCTCGGCCTCCCTGACACATGCCATTACGCCTGGCTTACTGGAACAGGCCATCCCATGGGAACTCTGCCTGCTGCAGGAGGTGTCTGTCAGCCCATGCTACCACTTAGGCACCCGGCTTTTGCCATAGGGCCTACGTGCTCACCATGAGACAGAGTGGGAAAGTGAGAAATCGCCCCCCGGGGGCGGGCCATGCTGCAGTCCCTTCCCTTTCATTCTCCTCTCCAGTCTGTGGGCATGCACAGGCGACCTGGGTCTGGGACTCAGACTGTGGTCAGCAGTGTGGGAGCCCAGCACCTTAACCGCTGTGCCACCTGCCGGCCCCTGGGCCCCTTTTTAAACAGCTTCAGAGCAGAGGAGTAAGAAATACCAGTTACCACCGAGTGCTTCCTCTATGGCAAGCACTATCCTAAGCACATACAAAATAGTAGCTTATTTAAATTTCACAATAAGCCAGAATTAGGTTTTCCAATCGATCTCAGCTGGTCAGAAACTCACAACAGCGGTTTGCTGTATCCCAGGGTCTTTCAACTCCAAGAGTTTGAATCCTCTGAAGAGTTGGCTGTTACACTTCTCTCTCAATATATTTTTTTTAAATACTTGGCAGAGGGGAACCAGCAGTTGGCGTAATGGCTATGTCGCTGGACTCGCACGTAGTCGACCGCGGTTCGTGTCCCGGACCCGGTGGCTTAAAACTCACGCCAGGCACGTGTGCGCCTGAGAGGAGAATGGAGGAGAAGGGATTGCGGTGTGACCATCCCCCCTGGGGGGTGATTTCTCGCTTTCTGTCTCTATGTCTCTCTCTGTCTGTCTGGCGAGCGCACGCGCCCTACAGTGAACATCTCTCCAAAAAAAAAAAAAATACTTGGCAGAGGATGCACGCACTCACCAGAGAGAGAGAGAGAGAGAAAGTACCCTCCCCACTGGGGATGGCCACCCTGCAGACCCTCCTCCATTTCTCTTCTGAGGGCTTTGGGTCTGCATACACATGCACCTGGCGTGTTCTTAAGTCACTGGTCCAGGACTCCACAGTGCAGTCGGCCACGTGACTCCAGCTGCCTTTACCACCATGCCACCGGCTGGCCCTGCTTCTCTTTCAATTTTCTACACTTAAGGAACGGCTCTCTCCATCCAGGGTGAAACCAAGTTAAGCTAAAAGTCATTTCGGATCTGGCCTTTCTTCCTGTTATGGAAAAGGCAGAGCTGTCCCATTACACTGTCTTGTGACTGTAAAATTGTAGCTGCAGTCACACACAGACTTTGTGCTAGAAAAGTGTTTCCCCTCACTCCTTCCACCTTAAAGCCTGTATGCACGTAGTAATTCTTCATAGAGTCTCCCTATGTCACCATGCTCCTGCCTCGGCCTCCCTGACACATGCCATTACGCCTGGCTTACTGGAACAGGCCATCCCATGGGAACTCTGCCTGCTGCAGGAGGTGTCTGTCAGCCCATGCTACCACTTAGGCACCCGGCTTTTGCCATAGGGCCTACGTGCTCACCATGAGACAGAGTGGGAAAGTGAGAAATCGCCCCCCGGGGGCGGGCCATGCTGCAGTCCCTTCCCTTTCATTCTCCTCTCCAGTCTGTGGGCATGCACAGGCGACCTGGGTCTGGGACTCAGACTGTGGTCAGCAGTGTGGGAGCCCAGCACCTTAACCGCTGTGCCACCTGCCGGCCCCTGGGCCCCTTTTTAAACAGCTTCAGAGCAGAGGAGTAAGAAATACCAGTTACCACCGAGTGCTTCCTCTATGGCAAGCACTATCCTAAGCACATACAAAATAGTAGCTTATTTAAATTTCACAATCGCCCCATGAGGTATATCCTATTAGTATTATTCCTCATTTTACCGATGAGGAAATTGAGAAACAGAAAGTTAACTTGTCCAAGGGCTCTCAGCAAGTTAGCGGAAAGGCTGGAGGAATTTACGTACACACACAACTTCGGACAAACAGCTGCAACTTCGGACAACAGCAACTATAAAACTTCTGCCCAATAAAAACTCGGCGTATATCGTTCTAAATGCAAGAACAAAGCTATGTCCCACTCGGAAACACTCAGAATGTCCCTTTCCACCTTCCCTCTCCCAAGTACCACGCCCCACCCCCTCCTCTTTTAAGGTGCAGGTTCTTCTGATACACTGCAGGGAAGGAGCCAAGAGGGTAATTAACCGGGCAAACAAGCCAACTCGCCGCCTCTGGCTTGGAAGGTGGAGGGTATAAGACCTGCAGGGATTTAAGGGGCGGCTCCCATCGGAGTAACTGGCGCGAGACAGGAACCGGGAGGTCGTCAGCGTTACCTTGTACCGAAGCGCTTGGTGGATATCGGCGGGCCGCTGTTCCCCGCCCCCCCGCAGCTCCATGGGCCCCGGCGGCGCGCCTGGCCAGACGCGGCAAGTCCAGTCTGTAAGACACACCCAGACGCGGTCACCGCCGGCCCCGTCCCCCACGACCCCCTGCGCCGCTGGGAGGGGTGTGACCTCAGGCCACCCTCCGGGCCGCTCGCCTTCACCGGGCTCGTCCCGAACCCTAGCAGCGACCCAAACCCACTCCCGGACGCCACGCGTAGGCCCGGCCACCCGCTCGGAGGCGCTGGCTTATTCTGGGAACTGCCTCACAGGGTGTCAGGAACCGGGATCAGCTCGGGCCCCGCGGTGCCCAGGCGCGGACCTGGGTGCAATGTCGCCGAAGGCTCGGGGCGCGAGCGGGGTGCTGGCTGCAAGTCCCCGCGTCCCGGGTTCGAACCCTGCCGCCAACCCAGAGCGGCGGACACACTGACACCAGTCACAGCCCCGCTGCGGTGAGGCTCCCTCGGGGAAGCCGGGAGGCGAAGGTCGCCCTCCGGGTCCCCGCGCAGGCGGCCGGCGCTCACCGCTCCCCCGCCGCCCCGAGCACGCACC